TGGGTTGACCATGGTTCTGGTACCCCGCTACGTGTGCTCACATACGGTTGACCAACTCCTTTATTGACCAGACCAATTGCACATCATCCTTCGAGGAGCAAGCCAATATTTTGAGATCGCTGTGAGGTGTGTTGGGCCCCACAGTGCTACACCTACTAGTACAACGCTCCACGTCAAAGTAAGTCAAAGTGACGTTGCGTGCGTTCCGCTCTATGCCTACCCATAACTACATGGATAGGAATCCTGAGTGGGTGCACACGGCTTGCGATCAGCCTCTACCTAGCTGCATGATCTTGCATCCGAGGCGGCTACGGTATCCTTTGCGGTATCCTGAACACGCTTCGTCCCACAGCGGCGTTGTGTTCCCGCAAGTCAGTAGCTGACCGACTACTCAAACTTCCGAAGCCTCTTCAATTATCCTGAATGCCTTCCATTGACATCATTGGGCAAGGCGAGGCTGCAAGTCGATCCGAACATGGTGTTCGATATCCCACCCCACTCCAATGCGGCAAGTGGAGCGCATACGTCGTCCGACAGCCCCATGTCAGATTGCCCTTCAATCTCCTTGCCTGTTTGCCGTTGGGCAGCTCTATCGTCATGCATCAAGTCTACGTGAAACGCAGACGCCACAGGAGGTACCAAGTTGGCCCCAAGACTGAGTACTTCTAGTTCCAGAATGTTCAACTTCATTCCACAGAGAAGTAATTCGGGTGTTTCGCATGCGTTGTGGCCATAGCGCGCATGCCAATCTGCTCCGATTCACAACGCTGCCTGGTGTCATGAACCACGCAATCTTTGCATTCTCAATTGGGAAGGTCTGAACGACTCAACCCCAGGAGTACAAATAATGACCACCAAATTACACAACACCTGGGTATAGAGCTTCTGTATGACGCCCCGCGGGCCCTAATGCACGGTCGCCGGTTGAACTCGCTTGCATGCACGTCTCGGCGACACTCCGCCACACCAATCAGATGTCCTTGTTTCCAAACCCCTCCTCAAAGCGGTCGTTCCTTCTTTCCCGTATCCTACACGGTGCTGGGATTCCACTTGAGGTCAAGTTGATGCGGGTGCGCTCGATCTGCCGCATTAGCTTGCCATATATACGGTGGGCTGGCTTGCAGCAAGCCTCTTCGAAACAACTGGCTCATAGCACATCGGAGAGAACTCCCTCGAGATCTTCGGCTCATAATCAGAAAATGCGCAATAGATCCATCCAGGCCCATCACACCCGCATTGTACACCGATACCAATGACCGTTCTCATGCGAGCGTCTGAACCGTCATTCAAGCGCGGGTTTACAACGTCGCGAGATATTCTCTGGCGTGGAGCCCGCGATCAATTCATGTCAAGATCGGCGGCACAGCCCCAATGTCGGGGTTAAGCATGCTGCATCTCCATTTCATCAGCAGCTGCCTCTGGGCCTTCTAGGAATGCGTTCGCTTGCACAAGCGGTCTGCAGTGTGTTGCGCGTTATGTGAGCAGTGGCTAGCCAAAGGCAGATGCGGTGAGGAGTATTCAACGTCGCATACCCACTTTATCTCGATCCATGTTTTGTGTGGCTCAGATTGCGGCGTTCTGTGATGGATCATTTCGAACTGTTCCTAGGTTATTTTCCCTTGCAACACTCTCGCCCCGCGCGTTGCTGCTGTCTGCAGTGCTATTCTTTCTGGTAGCGATGCAAGGGCACCATATGCAGGTGAGCAGACTGCTCCAGGCGTGCGGATAATTTGGGTAAATAGCGTCAGGCCAAAAAGGGTCCAGCGGAACGTTGCTTCTTACCTCCTCTGACCAGCACCGCATACATGGGCGAGTGTAAACATCTGGGCCTTACAGCTCACTACACGCTACGACACCGCCCGTCCAAGCTACTATCCTCGCTTCCTACTAAGCCAATGACTATCGCGATTATTCTCACTGCACAGCATAAGCAAGTAAGCAGCAGCGTATGCATCTCGTATCGAGCCGCGCAGTAAGCTCGGATTCCGACGTCCGACGTAACAGCAACAACGTGGCGACAGTTTGCCGTCTGGCGTTCTACTCCCACGCTCACAGGATGGGATGCAGGATGGATAAGACGGAACGCATCTGGATTTCACAAGCTGGGTAATGCCTGAACAGGGCTTCACGAGGTGCAGCCACGTTTAGCGTTGGCCCATCATATGGAAGCGGAGGAAACCTACTGAGTAGGCACTGCTAGCATCGGCCGCCTTCCGTAGAGATCCAGTCGAACCACGGCTCCGTACGTCTGCGACTGCATTGAGCTTCCAGGAACATCCAATAGGGAGAAATTATCGGCCATTTCTCCGCTCATGGGAATGTAATCCAGCATGCGGCACGGCGATAAAGTTGCAGCAGCCTCGCGACAACAACTGCCACTCGGAGGTTACTCTTGCGCGACGAGTGGCGACGGAGTACGGATCCCCACGCGTCTTTGTCCAACGTGGCCAACTAGCTGAATTCTCCTCCCCTTTACAGCAAAATCATCTTCTAAAGAGCACCCAAAGATCTCTCGATCAGATGTCTTGATGCCCGGATGAAGATGGAAGGATCAAAACTAGGTTGATCGTATGAAGTCTAGTCCGTTCCATTCCGCAACAATCGCGTTCCAACGTTACAAGACAGTCAAGTTCGGACGTACCTTGGCTTCCTTACCATAGTCACAAACTCTCGCGCGCAAGGTAAGATCGGAAGAGTAGAAACTCACATTGGGCCTGCTATCTTTCTTATTCTTGGTGCTTGCGTTGCTTTCCAAAGTCGCAGCTTGTTCCCATTGTCGCCCATTTGGACTTCCAATCATCATTTCTCTCCTTTTTGCAATGGCTTTGTGGTCAGAAAATCACGTGCGTTACCTATGGCATCCGACAACATCGTAGGTGAAGGCATTCGATGATTGATCGAGTATTATACCCAAGAGTAGCGCACACCATCAGCAGCGTTCATGTCGCGTCGGAAGTCAGCTTTCAATATGATATTCGGGGTCGCTGCCAATCCGCATCCGGACTTGTCAGAAATCACGCGAAACGAAGTTGGGAAGTTGACATGATTGTGTTTTCCAGATTCTCGAGTTCACGTCATTCAGCATGCGGATGATATATGTACCTAATTGGATCGAACTTTACGTCTGCAAACCTCTACTCGTTATCTGTTCCCTGCATGTTGTCCTTCGATATACTTTCGAAGAGATTTCGTTAGTACCTTACACCTAAGTATCGTTCTTGACCTCGCTTTCAATTCCTAATGTGCGCGAACTGTTCCTCCCTTTGCGATGCGAACCACAACAAACGTCGTCCGGGTTACCAATCGCAACCTCTGCTGGGTCGTCGATGCCGTCTAAAAGAGGAAACAGCAAACAAACGCCAGCCTGGGACCTCACTGTCGGCCACCGGCCTACGTCACCATCCTGTGCTTTTCCATAGTCACATTTCTAGCATCTTTCCGTCGTACATGATCAAGATCGCTGAGAAGGCTAGTCGCATTTGCGCCACGGCACCCATGGTCTGTATGGGCGAGGTGGTGCCACGAAGGTGCCTTCCTGGGCACGCGCAGAGCACAACAACGACGCACGCTCTCGCCCCACAATCGCGCCTTCACCTTCACTTTTGCTCCTGCCAATCCGTCCTCTGCTCGTCGCCTGCCGCCGGAGCTAATTTCCGCCGTGATTGCAAACGCTGCTCGCACGTCATATAAACAACTTTTCTGTGTCCACCTCCGTGTCTTCTGCTTCTCTCACGACACTCACCCCAAAGCTTCATCATCTCTGCAGCTGCATCAATCCAACAAGAACATACTTCACTTCATCCCCACCACCAATCAGATTACCGCTATCAACATGTTCGGCTACAAGATCTTCGCTGTCGCTGCGCTTGCGCTGGCTGTCGCCGCCACTGACCGTGAGTACATGCTTCAAGCTTAGCTCAGGCACACGATCTAACATCTCTTGCAGCTGTCTGCGCTCCCGCCGCCACCGTGACTGTCACTGTCACCCAGTGCATCCCCGAGCCCGGCAAGCCGTCGTCTGAGCCAGTCCCCGCTCTGTCAGAAGTCTCCTCTACCCCCGCCATGTCGGCTGTCTCCTCGACTCCCGCTATGTCAGCTGTATCCTCTACTCAGATCGGCGGAGCGCCTGTACCTACCACTACTAGCGTAATCCTGCCTCCCTCAGGACGACCAGTTCCCACCACGAATGTCCCCGATGACGAGCCCTCCAGCGCTACTACTACGACCGTCGTGGTTCCCTCGTCCTCAGGTCGCCCTGGTGAGCCCACAACCACTGCCGTCGAAACCGCTGGCGCCGCTCTTGCAACGCCTGTCGTCGGTATGGGCTCGCTTGTCGCCATCGGTGCTGCAGCCCTGGCTATCATGGCCTAGGCCCGTTCACACAAGGTCAACGTGCTATATTGAGCAGGGGTGTCGCGTTACACGTCGCGTTCTCAGTCGAAGCCGTTAGTGTAAGGCCTGGCATTCATGGGGCACTCTCTTATTGTCTTGATCATCCTCTCAAGACCCAGATACCCCCATTCATGATTTGGTATTAATGTATTGGCGGCTTATCATCGGCATGGGGTGTCATCCTTCGTCGAACAGCTACCCCATGGTATTGCATGTTCATAGCCTTCCACGAGTCTAATACAAAAACTGACATCGTCATCACTCTTGCCTCCGTACCATGCTTGCTTTGATGACTATGCCCTGTGAAGTAGCTCTCACACCACGCTTTGCTTCCAATCCTCGAGCTACCACGGATGACTGAGTTGGTAGCTTGTTGCTCGAGAGTCAATAAAGCCCTGTTTGCCTATCCGAGTGCTCCCCGTGGTTGATTTCGGGCACAGGGAAGGGCAGTGATGAATATCCTATCGGGGTCGAATAGTACGTTCATGTGGATCGTTAATATTGGCTGCGATATCTTCTAATGATAGTAAGAATCCCTCAATCAGAGAACGCATCATGGTAATATATATCGCTCGTTCCTCCCACTGGATGACCACTTAAACGAAGTACTACCCCGTTTGTTTATACTTCGTCCTCAACTCGTCGATCTCGCGTTGGAACTTTTCCATATCGTCGAGGATGTTACTCGAATCGCTTCTTCCCTCGCCCTCCTTCCCACCAGCCATATTTTCATCGAGACCTAGCTTCTTCTCACTCTCTTCCATTGGCGAGTATAAAGCATATTCGTTCCCACCTTTCTCGTCTGCAGGCGCGTATTCCCTTCTCAATGAGCTTTCGCTGGCTACGCTCGTCCGTCTGTGCTCTGTGCTTGTACGGCGGTACTCCGTGCTCGTCCGTCGGCTTTCTGTGGGAGACGAAGAGGATACTTGAGGCCTTTGCTGATCAAGGCTCGAGCGATTTGATCGACGTCTTGGTGGAGGCGGAGGTGGCGGCATGTTACTTCCTGTGCTCTCTCCAGATACGTTTCGCTGGGTATTGCGATTGGACGATATAGATGAGGCGCGGTGCACACTCGGCGCTGGCGACGAAGGTTGGGACTCTAGAGTGCTCCGGCGGGATGAAGGGGGTTCTGGCACAGATCTCGGCGTTCGACCCGAACTTGAACGCTGTGGCAGTTCGGTGCTAGAAGAATTCGCGCTTGAGCTGCCTAGGTTCGCGAGTCGTGCGCCGTGTCGTGAAGGTGGAGGACGTGGTGGTGACTTTGCTGCAAACGGGTCGACGTTACTTGGAACTGGGCTTTGTATGGGGTCAACCGAGTGCTGAGATGATATCGTAAGATTTGAACTGCTCCGCGATCTATTGCCTGTTGTCGTCGTCGTTTTGAGCTGACTCTGCCTACGGGCCAATGGCACGGGCGGAGGTGCCTTCTTTTGTCTATTTGTACTTTCTGGAGGCGGCGAAGGCTGGTCTTGTGCTGGTGGGGTTGGTTGGGGTTGTAGCGAGGTGGTATCTTGCGTGCTGATATGGGATGACTGCGGCGGAGCAATAGGAGTCGGAGGGAGCGGCTTGTTTGTATCCGAGCTGTCTGTACGTCTAACAGCCGGCGGTGGTGTTGGCTCTGTCGCTGCAAAGCTCTCAAAGGACACTGTCTGTGGCTGTCTCTGCGTAACAAGCTTTCCGTGTCGATGCTTGGGAGCAGGTGGGGGCTTCTTCTTGCCCTTCTTCACCTCGGAGACTAGCCCCATGCTTTCGTCCTCTTCCGAATCGGCCATATCGACCGAGGTACGCGGTGAATCAGCGTGGGATTCTTGTATGGGCTCGAATAGCGATTGTCGTGAGACCGAGGAGGTATCCGTGCTACTACTGGTCTCGAATTGCGCGCCTGCGACCGGTTGTGATGCGCTCGTAGACTGCTGAGGCGGGCCGGATGGTCGCGGAGTAGCCTTTCCGGTCAGGAGTAGATTTTTGAAGCTCTCTACATCCAAGGAAGCTCTGCTGTTGCCTAGCATCGGTCTTCCCGTGTTCGTCCGCTCCTCCTCGCTCTCCTTGTCTTGGGGTTCTAACGAGGCCAGTGTTCTCGAGAATGGATTCGCTGGTACGTTACCTGGCGATTGCATCGCCAGCGGCTCGCCGAAGGTTGGTCTCGGGTTTGTGGACGCGTCCGCTATTGCCATGGCGTCTTTCCCGACAACTTGGGCATTGGCTTCACCCGCGGTGACAGAGTTGTTGACAAAGCCGGCGGGTGTTACGGGAGGCGGTGGGCTTGCAGGCCGACCTTGGCTCGATCGCCGGGCCATAAGCTCGTTCAAGGTCGCATCTGAGTCGTCAAAGATGGGCGGTGGAATCGTGGTAGTGGGCGAGAGAATGCGGACAGACTTCTTGGTCTTGCCAGTCGAGGGCGGGGCGGCATCTTCGAGCACTGTAAGACAATTACTCCTTGAATGCCAGCAGACGCAGAAAGGCAAGGCGAGGGAATACCATGGTCGCTGTCCTCCCTGCGCGCTTCAAGCACACTGCTATCCGTGTTGATGAAGGATGTCTGCGGGACGGGCGCGGGCTGACGGGGAGCTTGAGAAAGGCGGAACGGGTTTCCGGACGACATGGTGGATGCTAAAAACAATGCATTATTCTATGTACATGGAAGGGGCGCGAGTGAAGCGGTGAGATGGTGCCGCGCAAGAAATGCTGTTGCTGATAGTCGGCTCTGCGACTGGATCATCGCCGACATGCAGGTGCTGGCGATCCGGCGCGGGACAGCGAACAGCCCCCACCATCGTCCTTCGTACACCATGACGGCCCAATGAATCTCTGCTATCCATCTGGCACAATTTCGCCAACGAATTCTGTGGCCCTGTGTGTTCTAGAGCTCACGCTTCAATGCTCGCTTTCTGCTACAGGATTTGAACACTTCTTTACACTGTTTAGTAAACGCGTGGGCATCTTGCAGCGGCCTACCGCGGTTATCTATCTAAGGGTCTATCTCCACGGTACGCTAATCGACATACACATGCCACCCGGCCTGGCAGTCAAACCACTTGCGCGCCAAGTTCCCTCCACTCTCTGTCGGTTGGCTGAAGGCAACTCGAGCTTTCTCAATGTGCAGCCCATAGATGAAGTCGGATCGTGCGAGATCCAGCAGCCTAGTCGCGATGCCTTTCTTTCTATGTTGATTGGACGTCCATATACGCGATATGCCCAAGGCAACCGGGTCCGAATCGGTGCTGATAGAAATAGAAGAGCTATGGGGCGCGACAGCATCTCCGTGCTCCTGTTCGGGCGAACTGGTGGGGTCCAGCACCTTATAGGCTTCCCAGATTCGCTCTGCCAAACATGCTCCTACGCATTTATTCCCTCGAATGTATAAATATATCTTGAATCGATCGACGAGTGCCACGTTGGCTGGGTTCTTCGCCGAGGGCCGTGGTTTCGATACAGGCGTAGTCCGTTCTGTTGCGTCTGCCTGGGCTGTCCGACTCGTCTGTCCCCAAAGCTCGTCGTCTGATATGGGAACAGCAGCAAGCTCTGTATTCACAATCTTCAACACATCACTCGCCCGGTTGCGCAGCGCCTGTGCATCCTTGCGTCCAACCACGGCGATGAAGCTCCCATCACCACTCCATATCTGGTTTTTCCTAAAGCGCTCCACGACTGGCTTGGTGAAGTCGACACCCCCAAGGTTCATCGCATGAAACTTCTTGTGTAGCGCTGCGTCCTCAGCATTCGACGGTATGTACTGCATTCCACATGTCTTGCATGTTTTGCGCGTCTCTGAAGCCAGGTCTAATTGCATCTGTACCATCTGCTTCTTTCTTGGTGCTGGCTTCGGTGGGCTTTGCGCATTGTGACTTCGTTCTGTAAGGGGTTCTTTGGCGGGCGTGTTCGGCTTGAGTTGCTTCTTGAATATGGAGAAGACTGGTCGCCGTCTTTGAACGGGTGGAGGAGAGCTGCGCGGTGCTGGCGATGATGGTGGACTAGACCGAGGCGGTTCGTCTGAAAAGACTGCGGGCGAGTCTTTGGGGCTGGACGGAGGGGCAGTAGAGCTTTCGCGTTCGCATTCGAGAGATGGGATGACAATCGTGGGGGCAGTATCCAAAGAAGTCAAGGTCGTCGTTTCGGTACTTTCGATTGTGGTCTCGACGCGTCTTCGTTTGGTAGGCGGTTCTTCATCGTAGAGTTGGCGCTTCGTGTTTCGCGAATAGGTTCTGACAACCTTTCTGGAACTATGTTAGACATGCGACATATCTTGGATTGGATCGGCTTACTTTGCTCCGAAGGATGACATTATGGCGCTGTTGGCAAGCGTCGTGGGAACTGGGAGTGCTGGACTGACCACGCGACAGACGCGTTTTAGCGCGCTGCGCTAGCGCCAGCCCGCCTGCACGACGTCACGCCTCGTCCTCTCACATGTCACCTGGACAGTCCCCAACATGGTGTTCAAGGACAAATACGGTCATCAAGTCTTTCCGCGTCTTTCAAACACGGCGATATGCTTGCATCGTTCTTGACTCATCGAAAGGGCGAGTGCCGCTAGTTCAGGCAACCGGTCTATATCCCAGCAGGGAAGGTGCGTTTGCTTCGTGCTGACTGGCCTTATCATGGTCACTCAAGGGCATCTATGAGTCAACAGCCGTGAGGCAATCAGGCACTAAAAGTATGCAAACATCCAACTTTGCCGAGTAAACCATCTCCATTCCAATCTCCTGTATGCTGTATTCGCAAATCTCGTCGGTGAACTTCATCTCCAACATGGCGGAGCAAGCGGTACCAATGCAAACGGGCGCATCAGTTCCATCGCCCATAGTAACTACCAAGCGTCTAATAATCCGTCCAATGTGTCTCCAAGATGCCCCGTCGACGTCTCTGCACGCCAATGACCCCCTGATCGCCAAGTACATGCGAGGAACTTTTCCCAGTCCATACACACAGTCTAGCGCCGAGACATGGATCAACACGAACCTCGCACTCCCATATCAACACCATTTCGTCATCTGTGAGATATCAGCGCCAGAACTCGCAATAGGAGGTATTGGTTTGAAACTAGGCTCGGACGTGTACGCACATGCGGCAGAAGTTGGGTTCTGGGTTGGAAAGACGTTTTGGGGAAAAGGTTATATCACGGAGGCACTGGAAGCCTTCACAACTTGGAGTTTTGAGAGTTACGAGAACAATGGCCAACGGTTGAGCAAACTCTACGCTGGGGTGTTCTCTGGCAACGGGGCGAGCATGCGGTGCTTTGAAAAGAATGGGTACGTACTCGAAGGTGTACTGAGGGACAATGTTTACAAGAATGGTGAGATGAAGGATGAGCACATGTTCGGTATGAGAAAGGCAGACTGGGAGAGAAGATTGCGTGAGGATGTCAGCAAGTAGTGGAGTGAGGCTGGCAGCACCTGCGGTGGATCAGAGTTTGGTAATCTTTGGAAGTTGATCATAGTAGTGGCCAAGACAGGATGAGAAGGCTTAAGGAGGAAGTCTAGTTTTCGATTCAAAAGCTTAAGTGCGCTTGAGGTAACTCAAGGACCTGGTTGGGCTACATATGCTTGGAGTTGCATGAGCAGTATCTCAACCGGCATATTGTGTCTTGCTCTCTTCATCACGACACATTTCTCATCAGCGTACTTGCTGCCTTTTATCAGTTCTTGCGCCTTGTCCTCTCCCAGTAGATCCGCCAAACTGTAGACTGCAACCTTTCTACCTCGCCATGTGGTGGTATGAAACTCAAGCTCCGGGAACATCAGGCGAGGTTGCAGACATGCGATGACAGGACCAGTATACCAGTGTGGTGAAAAGTGAGTGACTTCTGGGGTAGCATGTGGATCCAGCTTCGCCTCAAAGCTCTTGGTAAAGTAGGCTGACCACTTTTCCAGCTCAGCCATGTTCAGATCTGCCAGCTTTTGCATATCATCCCCACGGTTATGAAGCGATCGGAATATGAGGACAGAAGAAACGTCTTCAACGCTCTCAATGTCTTCAGTCCGGGGACTCGCGACTGGAATCAATCGGCCTCTAAAACCAAAGTTCCAGCTGAGCTTACTCCCTACTGCCTTGCGCATCATGTCCAGTATGAAGTCTGGCATGTCCTCCCTCCAAACCATCTTCTTCAAGCCCAGTCCGCCAAACTTTTCGGCCATGCGGGAGTTTAGAGCTTTTTCCCAGGCTTTCTTCTTGCCCAACTGTACAGTAACCCGACGAGTCCCAAGGAAGCGGTGTGGGGGTCCGAGGTGCTTCTTGTCCGTCGTGAGCGAGACTGGCAGAAGCCACGGGTCTTTAGTCGTTGGATGCGGGCGTGCGTGGAGAGAGGTCAGGAAAGCGCTGGGAAGGGAGATCATTGTTGCGCGACATTGACGGACTGGCGAAGCCAACGCATGGGCTGAAAAATTAGTGTTACATTGCCATTGAGGGACAGCCATATGCATACCGAATGGATTCTCCCATAGTTTCTTCTGGAAAGGCGTCAATTCAGCAAAATTCGGTCGCTCTTTCGTCTGTTCATATCGAGACCTTTCTTCCAAGGCTACCGGGTCGAGTAATGGCGAAAGCGGAAGTTCCTTGGCTGTCTCGTCTTTGCGGAGGCGGAACGTTTGGTGGGCATCTTCGCACGTAGGACCAAGGTCACTGCCTTTCAGAAGACGACCGGGAACATGAGCGGAGGATTGGCGGCATTGAGCCCGCGCCGGGAGTCTAGTGGGGCTCAAGCATGACGTCGGGCGACAGATCCATCTGCCTGGCATCAGGCGGGACAGTGAGCGACTGCGTGGTTAGTGCGGGTTGAGGGTGTTGCGCAGGAAGATCCAGAGGGTCGCATCGGACCCCCGGCTTGGCGCGCCGGAGCTGGGTTCACGCGGGGAGGCAGGAGCTCCCCGACATCACCATCATGGCTTCTCTATTACGGCGGGCTACAAGGCCATCAACACTACAAAGCTTCACCAGATATGGCACGCGGACGATATCAAGCCAATTCGGCTTCCAGCCGCAATCGAGTCCACAGCAGCAGGACCAACAGACACCGCGCGCCATCTCGCTGCCGATACCCTACGTGACGGAGACTACTGTGAGTTCAGTAGCGTTACTATTCAAGAGCTAGCTGACTTTATAGGGTGGAGGCTGGAAAACTTCCGACATCTTCTCGCGTCTCCTGCAAGAGCGCATCATCTGCCTGAACGGCGAGGTTGACGACTACATGTCCGCCAACGCTGTCGCCCAGCTCCTCTTCCTCGAAGCCGACAACCCCGAGAAGCCCATATCCATGTACATCAACTCCCCCGGGGGTAGCGTGAGCGCCGGTCTTGCCATCTACGACACCATGAACTACATCCGCTGCCCGGTCAGCACGATATGCATGGGCATTGCAGCCTCCATGGGATCATTATTGCTTGCAGGTGGCGCCGAGGGTCAGCGATACATATTACCACATGCGCGAGTCATGATACACCAGCCGAGTGGTGGGTACCGTGGCAAGGCAAGCGATATTGCGGACCATGCCAAAGAGATTCTTAGGATACGGGACAAGCTGAACAAGATATACCAGTCGCACGTTACGAAGAAGAGGACGTTGGAGGAGATTGAGAAGTACATGGAGCGCGACTACTTTATGGATGCGCAAGAGGCGGTAGACTTTGGTATCGTAGACAAGATACTGGAAAAGAGAGAGGCGCCGGCCAAGGAGGAAGAGAAGAAATAGGAACGCCAAGTACCGAATAGTACAAGTAAGATCATGACCAATTATCATCTAAGTGTGCCTGCTATCGATACTGCGCCTGTGTAGTAGCTTCATGCCATCTTTGGGGCCAAGGTTTGTGTCTTCTACATACCGTTTTTGCTTATTATAGATCGCCAAAACCTGAACAGCTCTATCACACAATCTTCCAATACATTCGCATGTGCTGCACTCGAAGTCTCGTTAATATGGCATGTACCAGTGTTGAAGGAGCTTCAAGTGGTACAGCGAGCTACGCCTCACCCCTGCCTAACCGCTGCCAGGTACGTTTCGGTTACGTTTGCGGCCTTTCGACACAACTCTGTTTTGTTTCTGCAACGAAAATCTGTATTCGACATGAGCACTCGTTGTGTTGATAAGCGCGCGCATCCTCGATACGTAACTGAGACGGTCCTGATCCTGCCGAAGCGCTGTTCGTTACCCATGATCCTGCTTAGGCGACACAGTGACAACTTTTAAACTCCAAGGGAAGATGTATTCAGAATATCAGTCAGAGAAAATCGCACGAAACGTCTTTACAGCTCACCATGTCAGCACCCATGTTTACTTTCAATACCTCATCGCTCCGATCGCCGTCACCAGCGTCAGCAAGTAAGCCAGCTGTGGGTGCAAGCCGTGTGCCCATAGATAGAAGAACTGACGATAGTCAAATGCTGGAGTAAGTATGTTGTATCTGACTATTGCTACTGCTAATGTTCCGTAGATTTGACAGCCCTATGCTGAAAGTGCGCGTTGGGTCAGGCCTCAATACGGCATCATTCTTCGTGCATCCGACACTCATCACATCCAGATCCGACTTCTTCAAGCATGCCACTAGTCAGGACTCGAAAGAAAACGAAGAAACTACAGTTGCACTACCAGAAGATAATCCCGTCACTTTTCGTCGATACCTCAACCTTATATACGCACACCAGCTAGCCACCAAAAGGGATATGCAATGGCTGATATTTTGCCGCCTCTACGTACTAGCGGAGAAACTACAAGACGTCACATCAAAGAACCAGATCATCGACGGGATGTGCGTCTTCTTCAACGAGAATATCTGCCCCGCCGTGAAACACATGGTTCATTTTATTCTTCCGGCTGTAGCGACTGCGAAGCTGTATGACGGCACCACACATGCAAGCAAGGCCCGAAAACTCCTTGTGGACCTGTACACAGACTTCGGCTCCGAAATCTGGCTTCGAAACGATGAATTAATCCCTTTGCCCGAGGAGTTCATTCATGAACTCGCTGTTCGCTTGTTTGAAAAGCGCGGTCCTGTGTTCTCTGATTTCCGGAATAGCTGTCCATCGTACAAATATCATGACGTCCGCGGATCTCCCCCGGAAGTGACCCCAACTGGAACAGGAGAAGTTGAGCCAGTCTTGGCAGACGAGCGGAGCGATGCGGCGCAAGCTCTTACGGTCACGAAAAAGGAGCCTGATGAAGACGTGTGTGAGCCCAAAGATATCAAGGAAGAAACGAAGCGTGAAAGCTCTGATGTTGCAGCTGATTAAGTTGCAACAAACCCATCCTGCCAGAATGTTGCGGCCACTACGGCTAAGCCCGTGTTTGGAGGCCCACTAAGAGTGAGATGAGAGCTCAGGAGAAGGGAGAAGAGATTTCGTTCAGGAAGGCAAATACCACGCAGATATATATGTTACATTGTGTTTGGAAGGATTGCCGCTAATTCTGATGACTTTTTTTTTTCAACGACATGGTGGCGTAGAGATGTTCATGTCTTGCGCCTGTAAGGTAGCCTTGTTCCTGTTCAAGCGCTTTGAACACACTCAGCCAAGCCACTCCAGCTGTCGGCGACCCAAGGCGCAAGTACAACTGCCCTCTGAGCATCTCCCACATCGCCAGTGCCACCCATCGCGCCTGCCAACCCAACAGCACCAAGCGTACCATTCGGCGGCGCGTTGCGCATCGCAGTTTCCTTTGCAAGCGTACTGGCGAATGCATTACCTCCAGCAGCGTCGGCGAGCTCTGTCCAGCCAGTATGTTTCCAGGGGGCAAGCATGACACTGCGACGAGCTTCATCTAACTCTTGCTCCTCACCACCTAGACTGACTGAGATGGCTTCGATAACCTTTTCCACGCGTGCCAACTGTTCGTCGCCGAGCTCCTTGTTCGTACGCAGTCGGTCCAGATCGTCTTTGATGGCTTCCATGGTTTCCAAGTCATCGTCCAGTACCGTCATGGCGCCAATGAGGGTCAGCAAGCCAACATGGCCTTCGTGCTTCTCAATGGCGGTAAAGAGCTGGTCGCGAGCCACTTGCTTCTCGTTCTCTCCGCCCTTAGCCCAAAGTACTTCTGCGAGGATGCAGATGATGTCTGGGTTGGCCCCAGTTGCCTCGAGCGATGTTCGGAAATACGGTATCGCGGCGTCGAAGGAGCCACTAAAGTAGTGTGCTAGACCAGCTGTGAGACGAGCTGATAGCTTGGTCTTCGAAATTTGGTCCCCGGATAATGCGGACTGTTTGGCATCGCTGTCCAATTCAGATAGCAAATCAAGTGCAGTCTCAGCTTCTTCCACGGCCGACTGGTAGGACTCGGTAGCGAGGAGGTAGCGGGCCAGATCTGTCTTGGCTTGTGCGACACGAGCTAGGGACGCCAGCGACTCTGACTTCTCATATTCTTGCTCGACTGTCTCGTTCACAGCTTGCAAAGCTGCTACAGCAGCGTCGTAGTTACCAATACGCTCTAAGAACAAGGCTGCCAGGTGCTTGTGCGGGATGTCGTAAGGTGCTTGTATGTTGAGCTGTTGGAGCGCGAACAGAGGTTGTATGAGGTTCGTGATGTTGCTGGATGACGAAGGCGAAGACACAAGGAAGTCGAAAGCCGAGACGGCGTACTGACGTTTGGTTAACAGTAGTGACGATTCTGATAGTTCGAATGCGTGAGTGAAGTGAGAGAGCGCCTCGTTGGAATCTCCGGTGAGCAATGCGATGATGCCTTCGCCGACCCATGCTAATGAGTAGTCGGGGTCTTGCGATTGCGCCCTTGAGAAGGCAGTGTGCGCGAGTTCGTGATCATTTTGCAACAGGTAAAGCGCTCCTAGGTTCGTCCAGGTGTGCACACTTCGTTCGTTGAGATGTAGGGAACGAACAAAGGCATGCTGAGCGACCTTGGGACTCAGTGTAGTCGTAATGACACCAAGCGAGTTCCAGAACTCCGAATTACCGGCTTCTAGTTCGATAGCACGCTTGAAGCACTTCATGGCTGCTCGAAGGTAGGTCGTGAGTTTCGATCCCTCAACGCCTTCCTGTTCCAAGCAAACGTGTGCTCTGTACTCTGTCCAGCCTAAGTTGTACCACGCTACGGCCTGAGCGTGTATGTCGTGCGCGCAACTGGAAACTGCTCGTTTTTGTGCAAGTATTGAGGCTTTAAGCACCTTGGTAAGAGTATCGTCTTTATCTGCGGAAAGTGCAGCCAGCATATCCTGTCCAAGCCCATCGATATCCTTGTGTTCATCAAAATCGATGTTCATATCCGACTTGCTGCGCAGCACCTTCTCGATCAGCTCCACTGGAAACTGCTTGAGTTTATCTTGGACCCAAGTGAACAAACTGCAGGCATCGCCAACAGCTTTCCAGAGGTTGAAAGCATCCGGCTTGTACTCAGTGATCGACATCGCAACTTCGATACCGCGGGTCGCGCTATCGGCAGCCTCGCCGAAGAAACCGGTCTCAATACAATGCCAGCCCCTCTCTACGAGAGTCTGCAGAAGTGCTATCGAGACACCAAACTCTTTCGGCCGAGACGCTAGTACAGCTTCGTAACCTGCAAGAGCTTCATTGAATTCACTCAGCTCGCGGTTGACATTGGCGAGCATGTACTTGGTGAACCACCCCTCTTGATCAGACCTCTTCAGAACAACGCCATCTGTCGGATTTTCTGCATAGTTGAACGCGCGTGATGCTGAGTTATATCGGCCAGAGTTGTGGTAGCTCTCTCCGAGACCGACGTAGGAATAGTAGTCATCCGGACTAATGCGTAGTGCGGATAAGAAGGACACAATACTCTTTTGATACTCTTGCTTGTTCATCTGGACGACACCAAGTGCAGAGAAAGGCCAGCTGACGCCTTTTCGTTTCGATCCTGGTGTCTGACGGGCTTTTCCGGAGTCTACAACTCGCTGGGACACGACCTCGACAATGTCCCACTCGCCTTGGTTGGCGAAAAGACGAGCAAGGCGCTCAGCTGCGACGACCTCAGAGGGCGATAGCTCGAAGGCTTTTTGGAAGCACTGCCGTGCTCGTCTGCGGTCCTTGTTGTAATCTTCGTAGAAGATGCCAAGCAGAGTATACGCGGGCGCATAGTTGGGGTTTGCTTTGATCGCTGCGAGCAGCTTCGCATACGTTCCTTGGCGGTCCTTCCTCGCTTGCTTTGACGGATCGAGCTCCCATATACATACACCTATTCTATAAAGTGTCTGTGCGCGGAGCTCGCGGCCACGTTGCTTGGAGGCATCGAGCTGCGGGTAATCGAGGTATTCCTGGAGCCTTTCCAAGCCGGTCTTGTAGTCACCGGCAAGTGCTTGACACCAGGCTGATTCTGCACCTATGCGACCATTTGAGGGATCTTGCTTCAGTGCTTTCTCAAGGAATTGGAAGGCTTGCTCATATTCCTCTTCTTCTTCTAGAACCAACCCGATGCCGATGAGAGCAGAAGTGAACTGTGGCTTGCGTTTCAAGATGGATTCGAAGATACCCTTGGCTTCCAGATGATTCCTCGGGGCCTGGTAGTAGACTAAAGCAGTAGCAAGCGTACTACTCAAAGCGTCGCGAGTTCTCTGAAGTGACAAGTCGGTCTTCTTAGCCTCCGCAGCAGCATATTTCAAGCCTTTCCTTGTGCTCTCGACCGCGCTCTCGTATTCCTCCAAGGACAGGTAGTAGTCTCCGAGTAAGCAATGTGCAAGTGGCGATCTTCCAGCCTCGGTAATTCCTTCAGTCATCAACACCAGACAGTCCTCCTGTGAGACTGGAACATCTTGAGTAAGTGCTACCCCACCCTCGCTCAGGTCAGGTCCTTCTCTTGAGTCGCCTTCCTCCACAAGCGGGTATCTCGATATACCGCTACTCAACCAGCCTGTGATGACTTTTGATAGGCCCTCGTTGGGAAATAGCTCAACGAACTGCCGCAATGTCGATATGTCGAGGTCCAGCAGGTCGTGCGCACTGTCCGCGTGTGACGCCATGACAGCAATCCGAATTCTGGAACCCAGCCAATGCAATGCAGAACGCCGATAGATGCTATAAAGAACGGCAGTCAAATCACCCGAGTCGTCTGAGGGGATTTATCGTGAAGAGTAGCAGCAAGTGAGTTGCAAAGTGGTTGACGTTGATGTTCGTGTTTTGGTAAGGCTGAGGTCCAGGATCGACGCTAGCATGCCGTGCGTCATTGCCTGCTCTTTCGATGCTGCGAGCCCCACACCAAAGCTCCAATTCACTCCTCATGGCACGTTCATAACACCAGTAACGCCGTACGGACGGCTACCCCCCAAACTATCGCTACCCAAATCAACGACATGTCTACGAAAACTGCGCTGAAGGCTGCGAAGGCGGCGATTGGCGCAAAGGATTGGGAGGAAGCGAAGAACCAAGCGACAGCAGTGCTGGAGAAGGAGCCCCAAAATTACTTCGCCTACTTGTTCCTCGGACGCGCCAACGACGGCCTAAGCAGATTCGACGAAGCGGCGAAAGCCTACTATGACGCGACCAAGCTCAAGCCTGAAGACCCACAGGCATGGCTCGGGCTAAGGGGCATGTACGAAGGTCTCAAGGGCGCCAAAGTTGATGAGAACATTGACGTCGGACTGGAACTAGCGCAGATATACATGAATTTGTATGTTTTGTCTATACAGGTGGAGAGGCAACAATGCTAACAAGAACAGGGACGACGCGCACAAGTCCCAATCCGCCATCGATAAGCTCGTAGATCACGCCCGCGCCCATGGCACCAAGACTCAATATGCACGCGCACTCAGTACCCAGCTGCCGTCCTCTCCCGTATACTCTTACCTCGAAGGTCGTCTGCCAGACCCGTCAAAAACGTACACGCGCATCGCCGAGATCCACGAGACACAGGAGGCTTCCACAATCAAGCGGCTCATAGAAGAGAGACGACTTCGCATCGGCGCGACACTGGAGGGTACCACAGCCTCTGTTAAGAACGAGATATACGCTACTAGCCCGCTAGAAGGGATATACGAGGAGATCATCAACTGGACGGGCGATGACGAGCTGAGACGGGATTACGAGGAGAAGCTGCTGGCTAGAGCGTACGATACCTTGATGGTGCTGCCATCGGGAGAAAAGGCGGAGAAGAGGGAGAAAGTCATGAAGCTGGCCCATGACATGGTTGTGATCAAGCACCCGAACCTCCTGGCTTGGACGATCGAATTGGAATGGCGGAGTGGTATGGAGGTCGAGGCATACTAGACGATTTCACGACATTCTGCATAGCAAGGCGTTTGGCTGTTCGATGACCGTTTTGGGGGGGGGATTTGGCA